ACAAATATAAATATAAATATAAATAAAAAATGTATATATATAAAGAAAACTTTCCTAATTTGGTGAAAGAAATAGACATACAAGTCCAGGAGGCACAGAGAGTCCGAAACAAGATGGATGCAGAGAGGCCCACTCCAAGACACATCATAATTAAAATGCCAAAGGTTAAAGATAAAGAAAGAATCTTAAAAGCAGCAAGAGAAAAGCAGTTCATTACCTACAGGGGAGTTCCCAGAAGACTATCAGCTGAGTTCTCAAAAGAAACTTTGCAGGTTAGAAGGGACTGGCAAGAAATATTCCAAGTCATGAAAAGCAAGGACTACAGCCAATATTGCTCTACCAAGCAAAACTATCATTTTGAATCCAAGGGCAGATAAAGAGCTTCCCAGAAAAGAAAAAACTAAAGGGGTTCATACTCATCAAACCATTATTATATGAAATGTTAAAGGGACTTATTTAAGAAAAAGATCAAAACTATGAACAATAAAATGGCAAAAATACATGTCTATCCACAATTGAATCTAAAAAACAAACTAAGCAAACAAGAACAGAGACAGAATCATGGATACAGAGAGTGTTTTGGTGGTTGCCAGATGGGAGCGGGTTATGGGGGAATGGGTGAAGGGGGAGGGAATTATTAAGCAGTACAAACAGGTAGTTACAGAATAGCCCTGGGGATATAAGGTACAGTATAGGAAATGGAGTAGCCAAGGAACGTATATACGTGACCCATGAACATGAACAATGGTGGGGGGATTGTCTGAGGGAGTGGGGGGTGCTGGGTGGAGGGGGAGCAAAGGGGAAAAAAATCAGGACAACTCTAATAGCATAATCAATGAAATATAATTTAAAAATAAAAATTTAAAAAAAACATTAAAAAAATAAAATTTAGCCCTGGCTGGTGTGGCTCAGTGGATTGAGTTCTGGCCTGTGAACTGAAAGGTCGCTGGTTTGATTCCGTGGCAGGGAGGGGGGGGCACGTGCCTTGGTTGAGAGCCAGGTCCCCAGCTGGGGGTGTGCGAGAGGCAACCAATCGATCGATGTATCTCTCGCACATCACTGTTTCTGTCCTCTTTCTCTCTCTCTTCCCTTCTCTAAAAATATATATATATATAAATAAAATCTTTTTTAAAAAGAGTTCGCACAGGCAGAGCATTGGGAACAGTCCTCGTGAATGTTGCCCGCCCATCCCTCTGCTTTCCCACTGTGCCCCCTTCCGGAAGGGGAGCCTTTCCACAAAAAACAAGGGGAAAGCCCCCTCCAAAGCTAACCCCACCACCCACCTCAGATCAGAATGCAGCTTCTGCCTGCCCCTGCCCGCCTCTCAGCTGCACCTGGTGTGGCCCCCAGAGACCAATTTTTGGTCTTGCCCCACCTGTCACCTGGGCCGGGTGGGGCACCCCCAAGATCTCCAGTGTCCTGGCAGAGAAGGAGCAGCGCTGAGGAGAGTGGCAGCTACTCTGTCCTCCCTGCTTTGGGAAAGAAACAACCCTGGAGCCAGGGTCCCCTCCCTGGGCCAAGGTTGGCACAGTAGGAACCATCTGTCTGTCAGGCCAGATGGGATCCGCACAAAGAGGACAGAAAGACAAGGGCTCCGTACCCCAACAGGCCGGCAAGGTCCTTGGAACTCCCTTAGTGTATTTCCCTTGTCCTACCCAAGGATGAAAGCCAAGGATGCATGGCTGAAAACGTGCACATGGGTGTGTGCGTGGGATATCACACTCGAACCTAGTTTTAGGAAGGGGCGTTGAAAGGTGAGACTTTACACAGCAATAAAGCAGTTTGTGTGTAGGAGTCATCTGGTACAGGAGTATTCGTGGTTACGACCTTATCTCCAGCTCCCTCCCAACGCCGCTCCTCCCAGCAACAAATCTTGCAAAGACCAGGGACTGGGCCTCACTTCCTAGGCTTGTTGCGCCCAGGAGGGTGGGCCGGGGACCTGGCCCTGGAATCCGGGCCCCTGCGGCTCTCACTGGGGCTGCTCCAGTGTCGGCTGAGAGAAGAAGATTCTGCCCCTGTGGGTCCCAGGAGTCAGAGAGACCTGGGTTTTAGAGTTGAGGGGAAATGAGAGCTTTCAACATGAGCCCCTCCCTGTAATGATGGAAATGGCGCCCTGGCCTGTGCCTCAGTTGGTTGGAGCACCTTTCCATACACTAAAAAGGTGGTGGGTTTTCGATCCCTGGTCAGGGCACACACCTAGGTTGCAGGTTCCGTCCCCAGTCGGGGCGTGTACAGGAGACAGCCCGTGGATGTTTCTCTCTCCCTTTCTTCTCTCTCTAAAAGCAATGAACTTATCTTCTGGTTGAGGACTTAAAAAAAAAAGAAAAAAAATGGCATCCTGGCCCCTGGTTAGAGTCCCTCAGTCTGTCTGGTCTCTTCCCAACGGATGAGGTTTTAGCGTCTTCCGGCGTCTTCCAGGCTGGATGTCCACTCCCAAACAGACCAGGCTTTCCAGAGAAGTGGCGGATCTAGAGAACTGTGGGCATCTTCCTGGGACAACTGTGCACTCTTCTCATAGAGGCAAGGGACTTGGCAGAAACAATGTCTTCAATTCACATAAATCCTGGGGAGACAATGCAACAACAAGCCTGCCGCAGCTGAAGCCACGAGAACAGAACCAGCTGGGGTTTCCCTCACACCCACCTGTTCCAGGGAGAGTGGGACAGAAGCATTTGGCTGCTTTACGAATTTCTTGGGGTAAAGACTGCTTCTGTTTCTCATTTGGGTTGTAAAACTTGCATTTATATGATATGTCAGGCCTGTATCAGTGACCTAAAACTCTATACGGGAGGTAACCACATGAATGGATCATTATAATACTACATACGTGTATGTGTGTGTGTGTGTAATTGATCCTGGTGTATATCATGTAAAATGGAAGTGTAAGAGCAAGCTCTGTAGGAACGAGAAACTTCAGACACAAATAGTTCATTTGGGTATTGAGGGATGAATAGGAGTTCGTCTTGGTTTACACAGCGGGTGGGGAGGCCATTCCTGGCCAAGAGCACAGCATGCATTCCTGACCCCACCCTGCTAGGTAGCCTCTGCGCCCAGGAAGGTAGGCAGAGAAAGGGCCTAGTGTACACCTTCAGGGAAGCTTGGGCGGGGAGGCTGCAGAAGCTCCATCCTAGGAGGGCCAGGCTGGGAGGGTACCGCTGTGGGCCATTCGGTGCCTTTGAAGGACTGTCCCTCTGAGGCTTAGGGGCACCTGTTTAGGATGGGGGATAAATTCACAAGGCCTTGAGAAGCAGAACCGGGGAGAAGCAGGGCTGGAGACAGTGAGTGGCAGGTCCAAGAGTGGGTTAGTTAGGATTAAAAATATAACTTGGCGGGAGAGACAAGGGAAGGGAGAACTGTGCTTTTTCTCTGCCTAGTGCTGCCCTGGGGACCTAGCACGTACTTGCTCAGTCCATGGAGGAAGGTGGCTGGGCAGGTGGACTGAGGGTCCATCTAAGCTGGCCAGCACTGGGACAGGAAGCCGCAGGGACATTCAACATGCAGCCGTTTCCCGCTCTCCAGTGATGCCCATCTGTCTGAAGGGACGGAAAATGCAAACACAAACAGGCCACCTAAAGGTGGCTATGAATAACCTTCTCCAACCCGCACACCCTCTGTAAGAGCAGCAGGGGCTGTGGGCTGGCCGCACCAGCCCTGGCTGATGGAGTTTTGCAAGAGGAGGTGTGGCCGCAGATCAGTGAGGGGCCAATGAGGGCACCCCCCAACCCCGCCGCCATGTGCACGCTCTGTCTTCTTGCCTTGCCTTCTCTGCCCACCTCACCAGGACCCCTCCCCACCTCCTTCCCTGAGATCTTGCTCCAGCTTTTGCTCGCTTTATGATATCCAGTATAGTCTGTCCACAGGATAGCTGGATATTTGGGGGAAGCTGAATGAATATTGGATATTTGGGGGTGGGGAGGCCATCAGAGGTCTCTTTGAGAGGCAAATAAAAGTATGATCTCGCATACAGAAAAATAAACGCCCCTCTGCCCACACACATGGGACTTTGCATATGATTTTAAGGACCTGGAAGCCCACCTCTCAGCAAGGGAGGTGGGGATGAGGATGTTCCAGCTTGTGGTGAGTCAGAGAGTCTGCCCCCAGGCGGGGCCAGGGTCCCCTTCCCACCCTAGCCCAGGGAGATCTTGAGGAGGGGACCTTTGCGTCAGGTGGGATGCACAGCCCCCCAGCCAGCGCCCACCTGAGGAGCACTGAACTTGGGGCGGAGCGGACCGCCAGGGAACCGGTCTGCTAACCAGTTTAACCAGGGACTGGTTTCGACTCCGGAGTTCAAAGGAGCTGGGTGCACCCTGTCCTCTGCCAACAGCCGGAGCAGCGGGCCTTAACCCCTTCCCAGTTGTGCCCAGGGCAAAGTCCAGCCTCTTTTGTGATAGAAAGGGGTCTGAACATCCTTGGGGCATGAAACAGGTGGAGGTGAACTTGGCTACAGTTGGCCAGCAACCGGGAACCCCAAGAGTGGGGAAACTGAGGAGAGAGGCTCCCCTCTTCCCCAACCTCAGCCTTCCCCTTGGGATTTCCTGCTCCACACAAGGCGGTCCCTAGAGGACCCTGGCTTCTGGGTGGGTGCAGGGGCACTGGGATTGGATTACTGGGGTAATGAATATTCATCAGCCCAAGCCGGCCTCTGCTTCTGTTTACTTAGCCGGGAGGGGCTGGGTTTCAGGTTCACCTTGACTCCTGGAGGCGCAGTGAGCAGGTACCCGCTCCTCCACCTGTTTCTCCTGCACCTGCTGCACAGCTGCTCCTACCCAGCTCGCCTGGACTGAGCCTCGCCTGGCGCGGCACCCTGGCGGCACCCCCAGTTCCCCCAGGCTCCCCTCCGGGAAGCACCTGCGCTCAGCTCCTTCTCTAGGGAAGGTCTCACCTCCAGCCTGCAGCAGTCAGGATCACAGGTACAGGCAGAGAGGGTGGGTGGGTGGGGAAACCGAGGTACAGTCAGGGCACCCCGTTCTCCACAGCTGCTGAGCCCGGGTGGGAAGGAGAACCCAGGCATGCCAGCTCCCACCTCTCCCTAGGTGAGCAGGCAGAATTCAGAACTCATCCCATTGGCCTCTTGGAGTTAATCCAGGCCTCCGCAGAGCTCCTTCTGGGAAAGTTTCACTCCAGAGCAATCCCATTAACTCTTGCTGAACTGGAACCTACCAGCTCCTGCCCTCCAGCCTAGAGGACGTTTCTGGCTTCTGGGAACCTCTCCCTGTTCCTGCAGAGGCTACCCCAGTCTTACCCAGAGTGGAGAACGTTCACAGGGGCCCTGCAGAGGACTGAGGGCTAGGGGTTCTGGGTTTTGTCTTGCAACAGAGAAGCTGACTTGTTCCGTCAATCCCCTCTACCCCTCCACCTTGCCCCAGTCAGTGGTTAACTTGGATCAGCTAAGAAGGAGCTCTCTTCAGTCTGGGCAAGACCCTCAGAGCAGCTCGAAGAACACAGCGGGGAAGATGGGGCCTGTCCAGGGGTGCCCACATGCGGGCCACTGTGCTGGCCGTCCTAGGCAAGTGGCGGTGGACTGTCCTGTGAGGCCCCATGAGGCAGGGCTCCCAAGCTGCGCAAACAGCGGAGGTGTAGCGGGCCTCCTCGGAGGCAGATTTCTATCGCTCCAGGAATTGCAGGGCCCCAGGGCAAGGGCTGAGCCCTCAGCCTGGCCAGCTCAGGGCCCTGGAGGAGTAGACTGCGGACCACGTGTCACCAATTACGGGATCTGCTCAAGATCCCGAGTTCCACCCCACCTCTGCCCCCGCCCCCAGCTCTTCCAGCCTCCTGTGATTAGGCAGGGGCGGGCGTGTGGCTGTGAGCACCCTGTTCTTGGCTACTTTGGGGAGCTGGGAAGTTTGGAAATCACTTCTTTCTTCCATTTTCTTTTTTGAAAACTAAGGCAGATTTTACACTCTCTCTGAGCAACTCACTATTTACAAGAATCTTATAGTTGGCTGGATTATTCTGCAAAACAAATAATTTAGCCATTTTGCAAATTCAGATTTCCATAGGTCAGGCTTGCCTAAACGGGCAAATACCTGCTTACTTGTGCTGGAATGTTCTACACAGAAAGACAGCAAAGTCTGGCAAAAAGTATTCTAGAGAGACCAAGTTCAAGCCAGCAGACAAGGGCACCAAGGCCTTGGTGCCGTGGAGGCCAGGGCAGGGTCCAAGGGCCATTTCCAACTCCATGGTTTCCCGACAAGCTCCCTGTGGTCTGCCCCTCCCTGTCCATGCCAACCTGAACTACCAGGGAAAGCGGGTATATTTTAACTGGCACAGGCAGAAGCCACTTCTCCAACGCAGCTGGACGGTCTGCCGATTACCGCCGGCTCAGGAGCTGGATCCTCCACTCCCCAGGTTCCTTGGCAGCCCCGGGTGGGTAGTGGTGGGCTTGTGGGACGTGCCGCAGACCAGGTGGCGACCGGGGCACCCACAGGCTAAACAAGTGCCCGTGCCTCCTTCCCTGCCCTCCTCACAACTCTTTCTAGACACCCATTCTGGAACGCCGAGTTCTGTGCAAGGCTGTGCTAAGCCCAGGCGGGCAGGCTGCCAAAGCAAACCTCTCAGGCTGTCCCCTGGGCGCACTCACCTCTCCGGGGTGCCCTGAAAGTATTCATCTGGCCGCTCTCGGCCTTCCCTCACTTCGAAGTGGGAGCTCCCCTGGGTTCTTTCGCTACTTGAGCTCAGCTACGGGGGACAGAGATGGCAGTGCAGGGCCTGCTGTCTGGACAAAATGGTGAGGAGGAGTCGGTTGGGTGTGTGTTCTGGGCTAGGAGACGGGCGTGTAGGGGACAGGGGACAACAGCGAGGGGCCGATGGGTGGAGGCACTCAGCTCGTTCCAAGCCCAGGCCAGCACCTGCCTTCATTTCTCCTGAGTCTGATATGCTCCTCTTTTAAAAATACACAAGCTTGCCCTGACTGGGTGTAGCTCAGTGGACTGAGCGTGGGGCCTGGGAACCAGAGGATCATGGTTCAAACCCCAGTCAGGGCACATGCCTGGGTTGCAGGCCAGTTCCCAGCAGGGGACACACGAGAGGCAACCATACATTGATATTTCTCTCCCTCTCTCTCCTCCCCTTCCCCTCTAAAGATAAATAAATAAAAATCTTAAAAGAAAAACAAACACACAAACTCCATACTCACGATGGAAACTCTGGAGATCAGGACCAGGGAGGGGAGAAAGCATCCCATATTGCCTCTACATTAAGAAGACCGCGACTAACCATGTATCATATTCCTTCTGGTCTTTTTAGGAAAGGTAGTTAAGACCATCCGTTTTTGAAGGGAGGCGGTGTATTTACCCGCGCTTGGGCGGCTGACCATCCATCCAGCTCTCTGGCGCACTGTGGCTACTGCCCCTCCTCCCCCATCACAGCCACAGCCCGGAGTCCTGAGACCCCTCGGTGCGCCTGTGGAGGGGCCTGGGTCTCTCACCGCTCTGCCTGCCTTTGGCTTGACCTTGGTTCCTCTGGTTTCCTGTCTCCTTCCACCTCACACACCCCGCCTGTCAGTGACATCCAGGCAATGTTACCTCCCCAGACTTCCACTCACTCGGACACCACCTCTGTGGGGATTCGCAATGGGGAGCCTCAATGGTGAAGTCGCATCCTGGCTACATGGCTTGGATGTCAGCCCCTTCGGCCCCCACGGCCCATCTCTGTTGGGCAGCTGTGTGGGGAGTCCAGCCTGTGACAACCACGTCTCACAGGTACCACTTGGCCCCACCAAATCTCCTTCCAAATGTCCAGCTCCCCTTCAAGCTTCTGTCCTCATGGAGGCCGGGTGCAGGAAAGGAGTCGCCCTTCAATAACTTATTACCATGACTGTAAGTTGTACTTTGCAAGGCTTATCTGCTTCTGTGGGCAGACATCAATGTCACGGCTGAATATTAGTCTGGAAAGAACGGCTGAGGACACTGAGGTCCAGAGAAGTGACCTGCGGGTGGAGGTCATGAAGCTGAACGGTCCCCAGGTCTTCCCGCTCCCGGCAGCTTCCGTAGTATTGCCGGTCACCACTGGGAAGTCCAAATTACTCCAAACATCACAGATCCTGTTAAATTGCATAATGAATTCTAAGCAAAACGCACAGGGTGTTTCTGTCCAACTGACCAAAGGATGTCAAAGACCTGGATGCCTTTGACCGCCCTTCACCTTCCTGCAGCCCCAGGGGACCTGGAAGCTGGAAGCTTCGTGGCAGTGGTGGGCGGTTTTTCCCACGGTCACCTCCACCTGGCTCAGGCCGCTCTCCCACTGACATGTACTTGGCCGCCCCTTCCCCAGACTCTCCCTGCTCATTCTCTCCAAACATGCGCTGCGTCACTGACCTGAATCCTAGGCTCACTCTGCTCCTCCTTTAACTCTTTTAGGCCTGGGCTCTTCAAATAGCCTGTGGTTAGGGGTCTAGACAGAGCTGCTCTAAGGCACTCCCCTGTTTCTCCCCACTGACCCCTTTCTCTTCCCACCCTGCTCCCCACTGACCCCTTTCTCTCCCTACTCTGCTCTTGCAGAAAGCCCACCCTCCACTCAGGGAGCGCCATGACCGAAGTTGGTTGGTGGAAGCTGACCTTCCTCCGGAAAAAGAAATCCACCCCCAAGGTGCTGTATGAGATCCCGGACACCTACGCCCAGACGGAGGGCAGCTCGGAGCCCCCTCGGCCCGAGGGCGGGGACCCCAACTGTGACTTTAACGCGCGCCTGGAGAAGATTGTGGACAAAAGCACAAAGGGCAAGCATGTCAAGGTCTCCAATTCTGGCCGCTTCAAGGAGAAGAAAAAAGTTCGAGCCACCCTGGCGGAGAACCCCAACCTCTTTGATGACAGGGAGGACAAGGGACAGTGAAGGGGGCCATGGAGGATGCTAGTACCTCCCTGCTCCCTGCTCTCAGGCGCACCGACAGGAGCTTGCCACGCTGGCCCCTGTGGCCACGGCTGAAGCCGTGGGGCCAGTTGTGCCTGCTGGCAGGAAATGTGTGGTTTTAGGTTTGTATTTATGTGCCCCAGCTCTCTGGAAAGCCTGGAGATCCCAGGGTCCTCCTGCTGTCCCCCCACCACATACAAAGGCACTCCAGTTCAAGGATGAAAAGCTCCACCGGGAAGGACAGTCTTCCTTGAAGGCATATTGGGCGGCAGGGAGGAGGCCAAGGAACTCCAAGGAGGCGGCAGGGAGAGGGAGCCTGTCTGACTTCACTTCCTCCCAGGGCACAGGGTCAAGGGTGTGTAGAGAAAGCTGTTCCCTCTGCTTTTTCTACCCACGACTGTTCCCTAGACCGATTCTGAGAGTGAGTTTCCCATGATTGGAGGTTGATTCCAGGAACCAGAGGTCTCCTGAACTTGAGCTCACCTCCTAACGCAAGTGGGGGACTTGCCGAAACTTTGCCTCTAGAGGTGCAGGGGGAGGATGACCCTGGCATGCCCTGGGCGTGCTGCAGAAGGCCAGGTTAGGGACCCCATGGGCCCAAATTAGCGGACGGGTTGCGGAAGCCCTGGTAGGAGCCGAAAGCGGCCTGCTCTTTCCCCTCCTTCCCTGCTTGTGTTTAAGACGGATGGGCCCCGGAGATGAATCCTGAAGCCTTGAATTTTGTTTGAAAAACAATTGTACGTTTCTCTCTTTGTAATAAACAATGCTGCAAAAGCAGAGAACCTATTTACATGCTTTTTACTCCTGCTTTGCATTAACTGTTTCTCATGCCTTCATCTCCCTTCATGAAAGTACATTGGAACTTGGTGCTTAAACTGTTCCTTTCAAATTTCAGAAACAGTCCCCAGGTGTCAGTGGAGAAACTGGGACACTAATCTCACCGCCAGGCACCCTTAGCATCTGGGGACAGAGAACAGAGGAAGGAGCCTGTGACACCTCAGCGGTCAGTTCCTCTGGTCAACAGACCGGCCATCAGGGGCTCTAAGAGAATGGAGCAGATCTTTGGTGACTGACCCAGGGTTGCCATGGTTTGGTTTGGTTTGGTTTGGGATCAGATGCAAATTCCGGTTCCACCCCTTAGTAGTTGGGTGACTTGGGAAACAAAACAAAACAAAAACAACAGCTCTGAGCCTCAGTTTTGCCTTCTATGAAGGGGGGCTGTAATGACAGGGATTTCACAGCGAGTGGCCGGAAGTGAAGTGGCCAAGCAGCCCTGCAGCAGGGGCTCAGTGAACGTTGGTTCCCTTCCCTGTGTTAAGGAACTGGGTCGTAGCCGCAGCTTCCATTTAAGGAAGAGGAGTGTGCTCCTTCTGCTGTCGGGTCTAGATTTTTCTCAAGCCCCAGAAGCTGGGAACTGGGAAAACATTGGGCAATTTTCTGGAGCTCATGGTGGGAACGTGGAGAGAGAGAGATGCAGGTGGCGACTAGACTGAACAATGTGGTCCAGCAGCTCCCAGGCCAGCTCCCTGCAGGCCGTTGGGCCGCCCCCACCCCAAGGAGCTTTCTCAGGAAATGTATTAGCAAAACAAACAGACCGTACAAGGGGGCCTTTGTTAGGTGGCCTCACTCAGGGCAAGGGAGCTGTGAGGATGAGTGAGGGCCACCAGGAGCTGGAGGGAGGGAAGGAGGACCCTTCCCTTATCCTTCCTCATCACATGGAGCTTTCTAGGGTCTCCTCAGTTGGTCCACAGAGCCTCCGAGGAAGAGCAGACTTCCCCACACTCCAGCCCTGCCCAGTGGCAATACCTGACCTTTAGAGAGGGTTTAACACGGGCCACGCCCCCTGGCAAGTACTGCCCAGGGTTATCTAACCCTCTCATCCCCCACCCCACCCCCAGACAGGGGCTGTCATTAATTACTCCCAGTTTTCAGAGTTAGCTGAGGCTCAGAGGGGTTGAGTCACTCGCCCCAGGTCCTGTCCTGGCAGCAGTGGAGGAGCTGGAACTGAAGGCGGACCTGGCCTGAGCCTGTGACCACTGAACCGCACCACCCCTTCCACTCTCGATTTTCATCTGCGTAGTGGGTGGGAAACTGAGGCTCAGGACAAAGGAAGGAGTGTGGTCACCTTCTGCTGGAGGGGAGGTGGGGTGAGAGAGGCCTAAACCCTGTGGTCTAGGGGGTGAGCTCCACCTGAGGGTGCTCACAGACTGGGACCATGGGGGAAAGCCAGCCAGCTTGGAGGCTGAGCATGCGGAGACCCCAGATGGCAGGGACCTCCCGCTCTAGCCTATCCTGAGCTTCCCTGACACAACGGTGGGGGGTGAGGCTGGGCTCTGGGCCGCGGACCCCACCTGTGGCTTACCCTGACCTAATGCCGCCAATCCTCTCTCAGGGGAGAGGGTCTGCAGACCCCTCCGCCCCGTGCATGGGACCATGCTCCATGGTCCCAAAGTGACGACCGCAGGAAAATCGAGGGAGACTCCACATACACCCCTAAACTGGGTATTAGTGGGTGGTATGAAAGGCCAAAGGGAGGTCTGCCTGCCCAGAGCGTCAGAGCCCAGGGAGCCGCAAGTTTTCACCAGGCTGGAGGAGGAACCGAAAGTGCAAATATGTGCAGGAACCAGGGAGAGGCTATGGGTTATCGACCACAGTTTCACTGGGACGCAACCCAAGGGGGAAGGGGGAGGCAGGCGGGGCCCGCTGGAGTTGGCCTGCACTGCCCAGGAGGGGCCAACCTCGGGCAGCGGGCTCCCCCTGCTGGACGCCCCACCTCCCAGGAGAGAAGTGAGGAGTTGCTTAAATCCCCTACCTGCTCTCCTTCCCAGGGTTCCGGGCAGACCAGGCCAGATTGAACATTTACATCACACACGTCTGATGAGTTTTTGTTACCGTTTGGCAAAGTGAGTATTGGACGGAGAACAGGAAAGGAACTGCTGAGACCAGGCTCACAGCTGGGGGGAGGGTACACAGCTCCCAGTAACACAAACAGGACAAGGTGAGCAGGGACACCGGTGCCCCCTCCTGTGGGCTTCGGGAAGGTTAGCTGTTGTGTCTTCCTGCACTGAGGCTTACGGGGGAGTCAACACTGAGAGGGGGGCCCCGTGGGGGGCTGGTCAACAACAGAGATGCTGAGGCACACGCCCACACAATGGGATGGAGCAGTTTATGGAGCGGTAACTTCAATGCCAAGGTGCACAAATAATAGTTCTCTTATCCTGACTTAGTCACAGCAAACATTCACCCAGCCTGGCTTTTCTCCACAGCCCGTAGGCCACTCATCCAGGATGTCCCTGGTCACCAGACTGGTGTTCAAGGAAAGTAAATACAGTTCAACACAGGCCTCAGCCCAGGGTTGTTGAAGAATCCAATTGCGGGGGTGACAGGTAGTAGGTTTAGAGGTTGAGGCCAGGGTATCAGTTGCCCTGGAGGTGTCCTATTAAAAGCAGGATGGGCCCTGGCTGGTGGTGTAGTTCGGTGGATTGAGCGTGGGCCTGGGAACCAAACAACTACGGTTCGATTCCCAGTCAGGGCACATGCCTGGGTTGCAGGCCAGTTCCTGGCAGGGGACCCACAAGAGGCAGCCATACATTGATGTTTCTCTCCCTCTCTCCTTCCCTTCCCCTCTAAAGATAAATAAAGGGCCAGGGGGAGGAGACGTTGGAGTAGTCACGAAGGCATAATCTCTGTGATTAATTTGATACCTGGATATTAAAATCAATCAATCAATGCTGTTCATAAATAAACATGGAAAGTAAAGCTTGATTAAAATCTCCCTGGCCCATAGGCACCAGCATAGGAATCCTTTTCACAAAACTCCTAACTGCGATTGAATACTTCCAGTAACAGCACACTCACTACCTAATGCTCACTACCCGCCCCCTCTCGAAGTCTCTCCCCATATTGAGATGAAATCTCTTTCTGGGCGATATAAGTGACCTTCGGGTCCTTCGGAGCTACAGAGAGTAAGTGTAACCTTTTTCCACATCACTGCGTTTCAGACAACGGAAAGCAGCTATCAGTAGTGTCAGGACTATAAAAATATGGAATATCTATTAATAAATAAGTTAAGGTTCTTTTATTTGCAATCAACAGAAATTGATCCAGCTATTTTATGTAAACAAAAAAAAAAGTTCGTCTTAGAGACAGTGAGTGTTCGAGGCAGGCGGAGGAACTGCACAGCCCAGGAGGGGGCAGGAGGGACCCAGGGCCGCCGAGGGAATTGCGAGAGCAGCGGCCAGAGCCCAGTGCTTCTTGGCTGCCATTAATGACCTGCCAACAATGACGCGTCATGCTCTGGGTCACTCCACTTCAACTATCAAATAGTTGACAAGAAAAACTGACGGGCTAGATTGGCTCAGGTGCTTATGCCGGCACCAGTCAGCTTCGGTCGGTAGGACCAGTCACAGTGCTAAGACGGGGCTGCTGGGGACCCACCCTGTCACCAGAAGAGGGAGTCACGTCAGCTGCTCCCTCTAGCAGGGGCGTCCACACTGCGGTCCACGGGCAGCAGGCAGCCCAGGACAGCTGCGAATGCGGCCCAACACATCGTACATTTACTTAAAACACTGTGAGATTTTTTTTGTGATCACGTGTATTTAACGTGTGGCCCAAGACAACTCTTCCTCTTCCAGTGTGGCCCAGAGATGCCAAACAGTCGGGCACCCCTGCTCTAGAGAGAGCTATCCCAATAGTGACTGTTAGAATCAAGAAAATAATTGTGGGGTTACTTTCCATTTGTGATTCTCTATTATGCCTCCGTCACACTCCATCAGACAGCTTATTAGGAGCCAAGTAGGTACAGAGTGCTTGAAGGATAAACTCTGAAGACCCCCAAAGACAAGGAGTGGGAAGGAAATATGTTGGCTTTAGAAGGGCCTGCTGGCTGGTGTAGCTCAGTGGATTGAGCATGGGCCTGCGAACCAGACAACTGCGGTTCGATTCCCAGTCAGGGCACATGCCTGGGTTGCAGGCCAGTTCCCAGCAGGGGATGCACGAGAGGCAACCATACATTGATATTTCTCTCCCTATCTCCTTCCCTTTCCCTCTAAAGATTAAAAAAAAAAAATGCAGCTGTTTTAAAAAAAAGAAGGGCCGGGCCCCAACCCCCTACCGTCTCTCAGCACCCGTCCCAGCTCCAGCGGGCGCCGCAGCCCGGCTGTCAGGGAGCGAGCCTCTCGTAGAGCCAGCCTGCCTCCCCGCGATGGGTCATGGGCCCCAAGGAGGAGTCTTCTACTGGGAGGCTCCGCCGAAAGACAATCCGGTCGTGCAGGCGGTTGGTTTGGCCTTGCCAGAATTCTATCACCTGTGGGTCCAGGACGTAGCCACCCCTACAAAGAGAAGCAGGGGTTCTGGGGCTCTGTGCATTTTTCTCAGCCATGTTACCGTCCCCACCCCTGCCACCCTGGGGTCCCCGAAGGAAGTTGCTGGGATGTGTCTGATGAGGGTTGACCAGGAGGAGAAGATCTCTAACTCCACAGACAGGGTGGCTTCAAGTAAACACAGGGGTCCTGGTGTCCCTTCCCACAATGACCACCGGCACCACTCACCAGTATTCGGGCTTTGGCACCTCTTGTTCCTGGTAGAGTTTCTCCAGCTCCTCATTCTTCTTTCTCAGGTACTGTCCCGGGGAAGGAGATGGAGGAAGGGCCAGACCCGGTCACTGATTCATTTAGTAACCACTCACCAAGCCTGTGCTCTGAGCCAGGTGCTGGGGGCACACGGGGGCAAGGTGGGCTGGCCTGTTCTCCAGGAACACAGTCCGACGGGAGGGTCAGACAGACGGAAGAGGCCTGCTTCTCCGGTCCCCTCCCACCCCACTCCCCCAGGGAGACCATCCTTCTCACTTTTAGGGAGAGGGAGGGCCCTGGCCTCCCTGGGACAGAACCGCTGGGGATAAGCCCAGGCCCTCGCCACCAGGACAGCTGAGGGGGAGGCCCACTTACCTCCCGATCAGGGATCACGGAACTCTGCTGACTGACCACAGCCCCAATCTGGCTGCTCTTGGGGCGGGAGCGGAAGTAGCTTGTGGCCTCCTCCTCTGGCAGCTTCTTCACAGGGCCCTCCACACGGACCTGCTCAGGGATGGCCCCGGTACCTGGCATTCAGCGTCGCCCTCCCTCCCCACCAGCACAGGCCCCACTGCCCCATCACTGTGGGCTTCGACTAGAACAGCTAATTGAGAGTTATTTGAGAGGCAGGGTGTTTGCCCAGCCCAGGACCTCCACTGGGCTCATATATAAACTCAGGCCCCTCCCAATGCAGCTCACCCCAGGCTGTCCTGGGCGTGTTCACTCACCTGACGGTTTAGGGGCTCCCAGTAGAAGACAAGAGAAGCGAAGGGATTAGAGTCCTGGAAAGGAAGGGAATCCGCAGACAGCCATCAGGACGGTGGGGAGGACCCGTCTAGTGGGCAGGGGGAAGGTGGGGAGTCTGCAGCAGGCAGGGGGAAGCTGGGAGGCAGGGAGTCTGCAGCGAGCAGGCCCATAGGAGATGCACTCCATGTAATATCTCATTTAAACCTTCACAGGTGGGTCTACTCTTACAGGGGTGGAGACAGGCTCGGAGTGGGTAAGTAACGTGCCCAAGTTCGCACAGCAAGTGGCAGGTCTGTGCTGGAAACCTAAGCCAGCTGGATTCCAAAGCGATGCTTGCCATTTCTCAAACCCACAGATTTGTAAGTTCTGAGAAATGCAAGTTTGGCTGGCAGGGACTCAGGAAGGGTGACTCATTTGGATTTATGAATTGTATGTACATGAAGTGCCAGCTCTGTACTCGACACCAGAAGAGGTCCTGGGGGTGTAGCAGATACAACAGATGCAGCCTCTGCCGCTGCAAAGCTCACCACTTAACCAAGGACACAAACGCTGATCATGTGATCATACAAATGCAGTTCGAAACTGAAAAAAGGGCAGAGACGTTGCCAGTTATGATAGCAAAAGCACGAGTGGCTGACTCAGTGGAGGAGTCGAGGAGGCCTTTCTGAGGAGGTAACACTGGAGCGGAGACTAGAAGGACAGGAGAGACGCAGGCGAACAGATGACGGCGCTGGGGGCAGTGGGAGAGAGCATGCGCGCATGCTCGCAGGGCAAGGAGAATGGCGAGGGCACAGGCCCGCAGACTGGGTGGTGCGCGAGCACAGATCACAAGCGGGTGGGGTTGGGGGTGGCAGGAACTGGTGACCAACGAGGCAATGCTGGACTCTGCAGCGCTGAGGATTTACCATGAACCCTCACCAGCTCTTTTCCCTTGCGGCTCTCGGAATTAGTGAAGAAGCGGAAGCCATCCTTGCCAAAACCCTTCAGCAGCACCATGCGGGCAGAGGGCTTCCCATCTCTGGGAGGAAGAGCAGAGCGCCATGGTCAGAGCTCATTTCAATGTCCTTGCTGTTGCCCCTCCCCACAGGGTGGCTGAGCACCCCTACATCTGTGTCCCCTTGTTCTGCACTGTCTGGGCACTCAGGCCACCCATTCCCACTTGCCCCTGGGGATTTGTCCTGGACGTACAGGATGACACTGCTGCCTAGGGCCTTGTTAGGGGCTGAACTGTGTCCCCCTACAATTCTATGTTGAAGCCCTAACCTCCCCATTGTGAGTATTTGGAGATAGGGACTTCCAGGAAGTAATTAAGGTTAAATAAGGTCATAAGGGTGGGGCTCTAATCCAAAAAAACTGGTGTCCTTCTAAGAGGAAGAGACAAGATCTGTCACTTGCTCTCCCTGCATGCACAAAAAAAGGAAGGCCACGTGAGGACCCAGCAAAAAGGCAGCCGTCTGCGAGCCATGAAGAGAGGCCTCCTAACCAACTCTGACAGCACTTTAATCTTGGACTTCTAGTTTCTAGAGCTGTGAGAAAATAAATTTCAGTTGTTTAAGGAACCCTGTCTGTGGTATTTTGCTATGGCAGCCCTAGCAAAGTAGCAAGGCTCTAAGGGCGACCACAAATAATAATGCAATCAGCTTAGGGATCACAGAAGGTGTCACTGTATCAGGTCCTCTGATCGGGGCTCTAGGGCATACCCAGGGCACGATACAAAAGCCCTGCCTTGCAGGCCTCACATTTTAGTGAGGGGGGACAAGAAGAGCTGGATAAGAGGCTAATCTCAATGACTGATTATCAAGTGAATGATACAGCCAGGCTTGGTCTACATTTCCAGAAAGAGAGAGCTTCATGGAGAGGTCCCGGGAGACACAGCTCTTAAATGGCAGCTGGGAACAGGGTAGGTGGGGAGATGAGGGAGGCAAGGGTGTATGGGTGGCAGGGGTGTTTGTGTCAAGGGCAGAGATGAATGAGGCACTGAATTTCATCACTGAAATGGATTCAGTAAAGTATTATCTTTGGTTTACAGGTAAGGCCCAGAGAGGACAAGTAATTTTCCTGCCACCACATAGCATGCTAATAAAAAAGGGCTGGAATCATAAAATTGTCATCCATTAAACTGAGAGCTTCTAAGTGTCCTCCTTCATCTGTACCCACTCGTGGAAGGGCCCACAGCTGTGCCCACCTGGTACAGGTAGCCAGACACATGGCATTGGCTTCCCCTATGTCAGGACACTGAACGGCCTCTTCGAACCAGGCAGCGAACTGCTTCACCGGGTCCAGAGAGGTCAGATGCGCTTCCTCAAATGCCTGGGAAGGGAGAATTTTACTTCATTTAATAAACAAAATACATATATTGCTTAATGTGTGTGTAGAACTATTCCAGGCACGGCCCAAATGTTAACTCATTAAGTCCTTGTAACAATGGCCTCGTAACAAAAAACAGGACCCCTGCAAGAGGCTGTGTTGATCCCATATTGCAGGTGGGGATTCGGGCACGAGAAGGTGGAAAAACCTGCTGGGTCCCCTTGGCTAGTGGTGGAGGATGAATCAGTGTTTCATGTCACGGGTGCCAAACAAACCACTTGAAAAGCCTTAAAAAAAAAAAAGAAGATTAATTCTGGGCTCAGCCCTTGTAAATTCTCATTCAGGTCTAAGGTTTAATGGAAAACTGCGTGTTTAACAAGAATTTCTGGAAGTGCTTTCCTGGCCTGGTGGTTCACTTGGTTACAGCGTCCTCCCACTAAGTCAAGGTGCCGGGATCCCCGGTCAGGGCACATACAAGAATGAACAAATGGATGCATAAATACGCGGAACAGCAAACCAGTGTGTCGCTCAATCTCTCCCTCTTTCTCCTTCTCTCCCCCTTCCTCACTCTCTCTAAAATCAATCAATAAAAAAACAAAAAGAATGTCTGGAAATGCTTTGGGATCCGATCCCAAAACTGTTCTCTTGGTTCCTCTCCAGAGGAGGGGAAAGGAGCTAGTAGCGCTCTCCTGCCTCCTCCGTGCGTTAGTCCCCCTCCCCCTTGCTTTTCCTTAAACATTTATATGCTGATTGTCCCCGTTCTAAGTACTTTACGGACATCTGAGTCCATCGCATTCTTGTGAGGTAGGTACCGTCATTTCACAGGTGAGGAAGCTGAGGCCAGAAAGGTTTAGTACACTGCCCGAAGTGATGCACCCGGTGAATGACGGGATTACAGCCCCGAGCCTGGAGACCGTGCCCTAACCCACCACCACGAGCTGCCTCTAGGGCCCATCTTCGTCTGGGTTTCACAAGAACGTCTCCCACGTTGGTCGTCTTTGAACGCCCTTGTCCCACGACGGTAACCCCAAGCCCCCTCGCCCCATAAGGTGGCCGTCAGAAACCCCGTAAGGTTCCTCCCACTCTCCCTCCTCTCCTCAAATGACTTGCGACTCCCCGCCCCTGCGGAGACCCTGCCCAGAGACTACACCTCTCGGTCCCCGCGGTAACTCTTGCGCATCGGTCCCAGGTCCATGACAGTTCCACGGCTGCACAGTGGACGCAGGTAGTGGGGCCACTTGGCCTATCGCCCGAACGTCACCGTGACGCCCCGCAACCTGCACGTCATGGGGCCGTCAGCCACGTGACCCGGCGTCGCCTGGCACCGGGTTCGGTTGCGTTCGGAGCCAGTTTTTCAGTCCGAAGTCTGCCCGGGGAAAGGGAGAATTTGTCAGTCGCCAAGCCTAGAGCCCCCTAAGTCCTCGGAGCCAATGGGAGTCCAGGGTTGGAGAAGGGATACTGGCGCTGGAAGACTATTGGTCTCCGTTTTCCAGAACGAGGCCAATTACGGCGAGAATAGAGGAATCCAGCGGCCAATGGGCGGCGCCTCTGGGGGAGGGCGCAGGGAGACAAGGAAATTCTGTCAACGCCGTTAATACGCACGTGGAGGTTTGTTAAAGATATAGAGACTGCTGCCGCCCAAGCTGGGGTCGGGGGATGAGCCGCTGAGACCTTGGGGGTAGTGGTCAGTATTAAGTGGCCGGCCCCTGGTAGGTGCCTAAAAGCGAGCCCAGTGCAGGAAGTACTTCCTAGATGGGAGGCTGGTGGCCTGGGAAAGACAAATGGAAAGTGGAAATAGGGACTGGACCCTGAGGCAAGATGATGAGGGGATACAGAGAAAGGGGCCATCTGGGTGAGGGGAAGAAATCAGGGATCGAGAGTGGGAGAGGTTGAACTGACTTGTGGTCTCTCCAAGTAGGCGTTGGGTGGTAGTGTATTTGTGTTGGGTTTTTTTTGGTGGGGGAGGGGGAGGCGCAACTCTGGGGCTTGGGTAGGTGCAGTGGGGTTAGGAAGAGACTGTGGGGTGCAGAGGAAGACAGCTGAATGGGAAGGACAAGGTGGAAATTTAGGATCAAGCTATTCCCAGACCAGAGCCATATTCCTCTTCTAGCTCTGAACCCCCTCTCTCCAGCCTCATTTCTTTCACCCCAGGCCAGAGCATGCTGCCCCCTTTGCTCATGGCTTCCCCTTTCCTGGTGCAGCAGACTAGTCGGTGTTCAGGTAGGTTGGGAAGGTTGCTACTGCCCCACCTCTACTGGGCCTTCTTCGTCTTTGCTGGGTTCACCCCACCTTCACCCCACCTTTTCTGATTTTAAAGATTTCATTTATTTATTTATTTCTAGAAAGAGGGGTAGGGAGAGAGGAAGAGGGAGAGAAACATCAATGTGTGGTTGCCTCTCATGCGCCCCCTACTGGGGACCTGGACAGCAACCCAGGCATGTGCTCTGACTGGGAATCAAACCTCTGACCCTTTGGTTCACAGTCCTGCACTCAGTCCACTGAGCGACACCAGCCAGGTCTGAGTTTCTGCTTTTTCACATTTTGCCCTTCCCAGATAGTTGGGGTCTGGTATTCTGGTGAACACTAACTGTAACTGAGGGCATAGGAGAGTAAGTGGATGTGCAAAGCCATTTCCAGAATGTTGGATGCAGGGCAGAGACATGGGAAACCTGCAAGTGCCCATTCCAGCTTTGACCTGGCTGGGACAGCCATGGGTCAAGGCCTCTCTGTAGTCCTGGTTTCTACTATCATCAAGAAGGCGAGCTGCAAGAGACGTCTAGGCAGGCACCTCAAGATGTCAGGTAAGGGAACTGCCTGCTCCGCCCAGGTGTCTGCATTACAGATAAGCTACATATGGCACTACGTTAGATCCCTATCACCCTTTATCATGTGCACAGAGCTTGTGCCAAATAGAATCTGGAAGACAAATTTTCTGCAAAGAAATAATATGTATCTCAAGGCTTAATAATGGTGATCTATGGATTCTCTGCTGGTTGAAATTGTTTGCTGCATTGATTTCCTCCACCAACATGACTGAGAGAGAGTTGACTAGACTTTCTTTCTTGTTGAGGTTGTTTTTCCACGAATGAACATTACTGCCCTCCCCTCCTCCCAAGCACCTGCACTTAAATCTTATACGTAGTCATCAGTGCGCTTCAACTCAGACAGTTTTGTTCATGGGTCGGTACTCTTAGCACTCCTGGGCTGCGCTATCCTGGCTCCAGGATCGCAGGGCGCCGAGACAAGGGCCGTTTGAGTGGTTTGCTCAAAAGTCAAGAGCTCAGTACAGTTGACCCTTGAACAACTTGAGGGTTAGAGCTGCTGACCCCTCCCAAGTTGAAAATTCCCATGTAACTTTTAACTTCCCCCAAACTTCACTCTGAGTAAGTAGCCTACTCTTGACCAGAAGCTTTACCAGTAACATAAACAGTTGATTGCCACATACGAGGAGGAACCCAAAAAACTATGGCATTTATTTATAAAAAATTGTGTATTTATTCTCACATGTTTAAGCTTCCATTGCCTTCAAAGTAAGCTCCATTTGATGCACTATCAAGACATTTTTCCCCCCCTGCTCAAAACAGTTTTTGAATTGGTCGATTTTGATGGCTTTTAGGCTTCTGCTGTTTTTGTTTCACTTCTTCCACATTGGCAAAACATTTCCCTTTGTTGACTTTTTTCATCTGGGGAAACAAAAAAAGTCACCCAGGACAAGATTGGGTGAATAGGGAGGGGGCACAGGGGGTCAATGCCAGTTTTAGTCAAAAAGTGCTGAACACTCAGTGCGGTGTGGGCAGATGTACTCATAAATCAGCTATCATGAAACTGGCAACCTCACTGAAAGTCTTCAAAAAAAATTCACTGAAGCTGAACACAGCCTCTCACAACAACACCAGCTGGTACACTGATACAGATGGGTTCCTATAATACCTTTTAGTGGGGGAAACCTGTATGTACTACAAGGGGCCTGCCCTCCAGAAGATAATTCCGGTTGTTGGAAGGGGCTTCCCCTCATATTTTATATGTTACATGAAAAAAGGAAAATAAAATTTTATTGAGAAGCATAAAGAAGGGGGGGAAAATATATAAACAAACAGTATTGAGAAAAACAATCTGTGTATAAGCGGACCCGTGCAGTTCAAAGCCATGGGCTGTTCAAGGGTCCACTGAATAGATATTTATTCATTCAGTTGGCATTTGTTGAAGACTTCTTTTGGACCAGGTACTGAGCTAGGTCTGAGCATACTAAGATAAAGATGGCGGGGTTCTAGCCCACAGGGATTTGTGGTCTGCAGGGCAACCAGGATCTGTAAGCTGAAGAGTTACAGGTGCTTCTGTGAAGGAATGGGGAGCAAGAAGGAGGAAGTGGTCTGGGGTTCCGGTAGTCAGGGACGCTTTTGTAAAGGAGCAGACATTTGATTTGTCCAAATGAGGATGTGTTTGCCAGGTGGACAATGGGAGGGCTGTGCCTGGAAGAGGGAGCAGCCTGAGTGAAGGCTGGGTGTGTTGGGGAAACTTGGCACAGTAGGATGCTGCGTAAATGGGTGGTGAGCTGGCCAGCAGGGGCCGGGCACTGGGCCGGGCATTGGGCAGGGGCTCGGCGTGCCAGCTGGCGATCGGGCAGGTGGCTCCGATTAGGCTTTTACACGATTCTTTTTCATCCTGTGCTGTTGTCCAAACCGAGTGTCTGAATCTTGTTTTTTAAAGGCCAGCTGAGGAGAAAAAGTAGATTCCAACAGCCTCTCCCATCCTTGGCAGTTAGTGAGGAAGCTTGCAACTGGTTGCTTTTTCATATTTTTCCCTTTGCCTGGAAAATAATAAGTAGGCTTGTGTTGTGCTTTTCTGCCTGGTGGGGTTTGGTGTCTGGATCACAAAGTGCAAAAGGGGGGGGCGGGCACGCCCGCCGGCTGGGCCTCTCCGGCTGTAACCTCAGCAAGGGTTTTCTTGCCTGGGTGGGAGAATTGAACTTTTTATTGTTACTGCTTTTCATTAAATATTTTGCCACCTTCCCCCCCCAGCCCAAACTTTGTAAATTTATTAATCTTTTCTCGAGAGAATCTTAAGTGAATAGCAAATATATTACAGTAGGTCATTGCACAAAAAGGCACACTGGTTTATCCACGTGAAACAGAGAGGCCATGGGTGGGTCTGGGGCCTGTGCTTTGCTTGTTCTCTGCCGATGCTTTTGCATCTATGTTTTGAAAATGTCTTTTAGTCTCATGGTTTGATTGGGTTATATATTTCAATTGCAGCTTAGTGATTGTGTTTTGGGAGCCGGTGACCAAGTGGATAGCAGGAGAGGGAGGCCCAGACTGGAGTGTTGTCTAAATGGAGGCAGGACCCTGGTGCCTGAGTGTGTGGGTGGGTGGGTGGGTGAGTGGGTGGAGAAGCAGGGGTTGACTCACCAGGATGACTTTAGGTGATGTGGGTGGTGCTGTTCACTGGAGTGGGGCTTGTTGGGGGAGGGGGTCTGGGGGAGAGATGAAGTCACTGCCAGGCCTGTGGCACGTGAGGGTTTAGGGAACACGCACGTTTGGTTTGGTTGGATAATCATGTCTGAGGCTTAGGATAGAGGTCTGGGCCAATGAGACCCGTGTAGGTGTCACGAGCCACCGAAGTGGCATCTGGAACCACAGGGGAGGACGAGAGTGTCTGAGAAAGGTAGAGGGTCTGGGAGAGGTAAGGAAGACGGTGGGAGAGGGGAGAGGCCCAGGAGGATGGAAATGATGCTGGCGATACACAGTTGCCCGGCTTTCCAGGAGGCTGAGGGCAGGCTGGGGGGAGATGTGCTGGGACCCCTAAAAGCTCAGGAATTACCGGGCCCAGCCTTGGGGTGAACTCAGGACACACAGAAAGGTGGGTGCTTGGTGCTCTGCCAACAGATGCCCAAGTCCCAAGTACGGTTCTCAGAGGGCCCAGAAGAGGGATGCAAAGGGGACTGGCTTTTATCCGAGCATCCTGCCTGTGGTTATGTGGGTGACCCCTCACATGACCCTTGCATGTGTGTGTTCATGGGTCACTATGCAAACACATCCTGTGGTTATCATACACGTTTCCCATTAGGATCTCCTTTGTGGGATCCACCATATCACTGACTTCCTAGGGCTCCTTCTCAATATGCCAGCCAGGAAATGCTAATCTGTCATGTTTATGCATAAACTGCTTTGTTACGCCTCTCTGTAGCCAGGTGCTGGGCATTGTGAGTGGGGTTTGGAGGTGGTGTGCTCCTGGTGGAACCAGGCCGAGTGCCCTTGTTGGCTGGAGGGATGTTAAGCTTTCCCAGACTGAGTGAGGTCCGAAGGCATCGGTCTTAGTCCAGGTACCCACTGCCTTAGTAATTGGTGCGTGAGCCACAAGCAGAGGAAGGAGGCCTGATGGCGCGTTCCCAGGTAGACCCAAAGGAGATGACCTGGCGGCTTCATAGTTTCATTGATTAATCCTGGTGGTCCTTGCCTTTGGCCCGCCCTGTGGTCATCCCCATTTCCTCTTGCCCGGGATCCCGATGCGCAAGTAGGTGTGTGACTGTCCTCTCCAGCCCCACTTCTCTGCCGTTTCCCACCGTGGTCTGCTTTCTTTTCACCCATACCCCTGTCCTTTACCCCACCCTCCCAGACTCTCTTCCCGCCTCTTCCTCTCCCTGAGGACCCCTTCCCGAGGAAACTCGGCTGCCACCCGTCCCGAGATGATGGTAGTTCTTTTAATGGCTTCATCCCCACCCCAAAGACCTTCATCAAGTCGTAAGAGGTCTCTGTCCTGAGAGAGTGTCTCACCCCGGGTTAGGTCTCCTGGACCCCACCCTGGGTGTGGGCCACAGCCACATCCACAGGCCAGGAGCCCCTGGTGGGTCCCGGCACCTGAGATGCTGCAGGTGGCTCCTGTCATCGTACTCGCGTGGGGCCTCAGAGTGACCTCAGAAGGTGGTTGTAAAAATGGACTGAGTAGTTTGAAGGAAGCCTGAGTTCTGTTTGCTGTTTTTTGTTTCTTTTTTAGATTTTATTTATTTATTTTTAAAAAGAGGGGAAGGGAGAAGGGAAATATCACTGTTTGCCTCTCATGCACCCCCTCCCCCACCAGGGACCTGGCCTGCAATTCAGACATGTACCCCTGACTGGGAATTGAACCTGCGACCCTTTGGCTTGCAGGCCAGTGCTCAACCCACTGAGCCACACCAGCCAAGGCTGATTTTTTTTTAAAAAGGTACTTTGCCTGGATTTGCCTTCAGTATGGGGGAGAACTTCCCCAGCCCCCTTTTCTTTCCAGCTAGTAATCCTGGGATCTGGGGTCAAAGAGCTGCTGTACTGAGCATCACTGAGCAGACGTCAGAGGCAGGGAGGTGGCTTTGGTGTGGATGACTCTGAGGAGGGAACTTGGGCTGCATGGCCCCACACTCTCAAGCTGCTGGGGATAGCCTGCCCCCCAATTTCAACCAGGGCCCATCAGGTGTCCTGCCAGGGGGCTCTGGCCTGGGGTGAGCTTGGGTGGCATCGCATCCACAGCCCCCACCCCCTGCAACTCACAAGGGGATGGGTTACCGCAGATGAGGGCTGATTTGCCACCAGGCCTCTCCATTCTGTCCTCATGCTGTCCCCTGGGCTAGACGGAACACCTTCTCTGCCCCCTTTCTAATTCAAGCAGCCTATGGCAGGCAAAGACGGCCAGGCTTCACTTTGAACCCCTCTCACAGGAGAGGGCAATCCCAAGTGTCAGCACTCAGTCCTGCCGATCGGGGGCCGGCACCCTCATCCTAGAGGAGGCCACGGAGTCAGATTAATTTCCGCAGTGGAAGCAGACGACTTGGAAG